CGAAAACTACAAGAAAAAAAGATAAAAAAAATATTTATACTTATTATATACTAAAAATTGCCTAACATGGTAAACCAAAATAAAATATACATTACTGTAGTAAAATTTTTACCTTTAAGGGCGTCGTCCATGCCTTTTAGTCGCCCTACAATGGCAGCCAATTGTTTTTTGTACTTTGCATGTTCTTCTTGCAATTTCTCGTCCATTTTTCTGTTAAATTCTCTCAAAAGTTCGGCTTCTCTAATTTTTAATGCCTCATCCAGATGATCTGCAAATGCCTCTGACTGCAGCTTGAGTTGCCTTCGAAGCTCCTTTTCAGCTTCATTTCTCAAACATAAGCACTAAAAGAACAATAAAAATAATGACAAAATTTGAAAAAGTAAACGAAAACGGGGGTAAATTACTCAAAAACGCAGAATTATACATATCTCGTTAAATATTCATGTTATTAGGTACAATCCAAATTGTAAATTTTACATATTATTAAGTCCTACTGATTTAATTCTTTTTTATCTAACGACTCAGATTATTAAATTTCTAATATTTTTAGTTAATGAACTAATCTTACCCGTTTTTCATAGTCAAGGAAAAGTTTCTGTTTCTCTATTTCCAGTTGATGCTGCACTTGGGCGTTGGCTAGTTCTTCGGCGCCCCCTCTAGTTATAGCGTCCTGTAATTTCTTCTCTCCAACAGTTTGGGCACGCGCCAGCTCTTTCTGAAAGAATAGGACGTTGGAGAAGGCGTGTAGAATAAAAAGGTCCAAATCTGTAGCCGACAGTTCGAGTTTCTTCTCATGGATTTTGATAGACGGGAATAAGATTTCAAGTTCATCTATAAAATGCTTTCGCGCCTGTTCAACTTTGTCCCAATACTTTTCAGTTACACTGGAGGCTCTTATTTGATCTTCGAATTCTTCTTTGGCCTTTTTGATGTCATTTTCGACCCTGTCGGCGTTTTTTCGCGCGAGTCTCTTGATATCTTCAGGAGCGGTTATCTCTGGGCGATCCAGAATGTTGCGAAGTTTCTTGAGATCTTTGAGAGCTTCTTCGGCGCATCTCTCAGCCTCTCTAATGGCTTCTTCTTTCTTCCTGCTCTTCTCTTTAAGGTTGTCCCATGTTTTTTGATCAAGGCGGTCAATCGAGTATTCGACGACCACCTCGACTTCACGGTTGAAGTTTTTAACAGCAGTTGTCGCTCTGTTGTACCACTGAACGGCTTGGGAAGCTGCCTCGCCCAATTGCACCTCCAAGTCTTCGATATTCTTTGGATGGGTGTCCGGTAAACGCCCTTCAGGACCCGGTTTCTTATTGACTAATTAAAATAATAAATATCAAACATTACCAGGTACAATTTAAAAGAAATAATAGTTAGTAAATCTACAAAAGCTTGTACCTATTGTTACAGAGGGTTCTGACTCTTCGTCTTCTTTGCACTCCAGTCTTACTTCTTTGTAAGTGGGGTCACTGGGAGGCTTAACTCCGGCAAAGACAGATGGAGGTGCTAATGTTAAATTCAATGCATGTTAGTAACCAAACCACACATAATGTTTCGTCTGTACTTACGATCGTACGTAATCTCCTTAGTGGTTTCTTCAGCACCCCTTTTATGGCCACCTTTAAGGAGATCTTTCAGTTTATCAAACAATGACACATCTTCTTGGAATATAAATTTAAGTATGTCATCAGTAAAGGGGGCTTGTTGTTTCAACCAATAACGAAATTCGGGATCATATTTGGCGTAACCTATTGTAGCACCCGTTATCACAGCAAGTGCCCCTAATGTATATTTACCTCCCGAACTGGACTTGGATGCGGGTGGTGGAGGGCAAATATCAGGTGGGGTTTGTTTAGAATAGCGTCTGCATAGTTTTGCAATAGATTTGTTCTAAAAAATTAGTACAAATGTAAATGGGTATGACATAACCGTCTATTAATGTAAACACAACTTTTACAATAAAAATGGCTTTACATGCAGCAAAATTAATGTTTTATTACCTTGATTGATCCCGATGAAGGCAGCTTCCTTATAAAAACTATTCTAAACATTTTTAGGGCGACAATTTTTCACCGGAGAAGACATTCACACAAGATTTTCGTAATTAACAATTTTGAGGTTAAGGAACTTTCACCTGTTCCTTGGTCAGTCGACTCTGTGGTAACAAAAATAAGAACAACAATAAGAAGAAATACTACAGAAATGCACCAGATATTTAGCAAAAGTAAGTCGTTTTTTTATACAATATACAAAGATTTTGAATTATTGCCACAGGTTTCACAAATTTCACAGTTCCTGACAATTTCAAAACGATTTTTTTGACTTTGATCTTTTGTTTTTACAACAAATTTGGAGGTTATGTTCCCTCTATTTCGACTTTTCTATTTTATGTAATTAATTGTCCTCTTTTATAATTAATATCAGACATGTACTAGTAAAAAATTCTTTACAGCACTGTTCAATGGTCTCAAAAGGTTCTACAGCTCATCATACCCTCTTGTAAAAAATGAACTGTCCAAATTTGTTCCTGCCCCTGTTACACTAGTTAGGTCATTTTCAAGTGTGTTTCAACCCTCTCAGTACGTACCTGTAAGTCACAATTTACTCCAAAATCCAAAGGTAAAATGTCTGACCAACAACATCCAGACCCGTTCAGTCATAAAGTTTTCTATGATGAAAGGGAAAAGGAAATCAGTAAAGGACATCCCCTACAGGTTTTATCGGTTACGTTGGGGCATATGGATACGTACCATCGCTGGTAGACACAAGCATTTATGGAAGAAGAGTGGAAGAAGGAAGAAGAGGTACATGCCAAAAGCATGGATTGTAAAAAGGAAAGAAGATACAGGGGCAAGTTGGCACCAGACTCTGGAACAAGGGACAGTTGTCGCGCCATTTTTTCCACCTTTAAGAACCTCTCTCGCAAAGCATCTTCTGAGTACACGCCCCTCTTCGTAGCTTCCTCTGGGATACCGTTCAGAACTGCGCAGACCAACTCGTCTTCAGGGTCTTGGAATGAAAAATGCAATGTATTTTTTCTTTTGAAACTTTTTTTAACATGTTTGCTCACCTGCAGCCTTTTGAACTGCTGTAACCTCAGCTTTTAAGGGGCGTAACTGTTGATGCCACGGCAGGCCAGGACATCCAGACTTTAGGGAACGATACAAGGCCTGACAAGCGCCCCATAAAGTCTGTGCTTTTCTTGTAATACGCTCTTGGTTTTGTTGAGCTATTTTTGTGGGAATTGAAAAAACAAAATTGTTCTTAGAGAGTCGATTTAATCGCTATAATTAAATTATTAATTACCTAGAAAATTTTTATCGAAAACTACAAGAAAAAAA